TCAGGGAGCACGAGGGTTAATCCTCGTTCCAGAGAGGCTGGAAGGCGAGGCCGGCGGGGCAGGGTGCGCGGAGTGTGATGTGTGCCGTTTGTCGGAGGCACGAACGAGCTGTTGGCGCTGGCGCGGCTGGCGGCGCTGGGGGTGAGTTGTGGCGGCGGCGGCCGGTTAATGATACCTGTGCCGCGCCGGCTGGCCAGCCCCAGCCAGCCCCAGCCAGCCTGCCTGTAGCGTAGGGCCGTGGCGACGACTCGCACCACCACACTCACACCCACAGGCACACACGCCAAGGGCTATCGCTGTAACGGGGCGCGAGCACGCACACATTGGCTGACAGGCGAGCCCGCAACACGCCACGGCGCGCCACCCGTTGCATCTGATGTTTGTGGCGCCTCGCCTCGCCTCGTCAATGCAGTCAATGCAGTACATTGTAGAGGTGCAAATTTTCCGGAAACTTTCAAAGGGTCGGAAAAAAACCGGAAAAGTTGGAAAAAAACCCAGAAAATTTGGAAAAATAGGAAAAATAGGAAAAATTAGTTTTTAAGCACTATGAACATGAAACCTACTACTTTTGTGCTTATACTAACTTATACTAACAACCCGAGATTCACAACAGCAAGCTAAAAAAAACGCACGAGAATCATAACGAGGAATCATAACAGGGTATAAGTAGTTTGAGTGCACTGAGAATCGTGTTCACATAGGGTTAAAGGTATGCTTTTAGCCTACTTTCAGGCGAAATGCCCGACTTTTTGCCTACTTTTCAGGCTGAATCTTTCCAATTTTTCCGGGGCCAGGGAAAAAAACGGAAAAAAACACTGTTTTTTTCCAATGTTTCCGGAAACTTTCCGGGCATTTTCATCCCTAGTACATTGTCCGGAACAGTGGCAACGATGAAAAACCTGCCAGCATGCCGGCTATGGAAACCGCCCTCTTAGCTCCGCGGGAACTCGTCTCCGCAGGAGGCGCGGACGCGAAACTGTTTTTGTCTGCGCGGAAGCGACTACGTACTCGCTTCCCGGCCTGGCGGCTTCGCGGCAGCCTGATGCATTCGCTTTGAACGCGGACGCTTTGAAGCGCGTGAGCGACGGCCGCCGCCAGCGCCTGCAGCCCTCGCCGTGAGCCTTGAGGTGAAAGTTAATTCCCCTGCCGCGCCAGGCGGGGGCCGCCAGGACCGCAAGGGCAGCAAGGCCACGGCGAGGCTCCCTTTGTTCCAGTCCAAGCCACGGAACCAGGAAACCAAGGAACCAAGGGGAACAAAGCGATGGCCGTCGGCCGGCCTCCGCGAGGGCCGAGGCCTTGGCCGAGGCCGCGGACAGCCTGCATTGCCTCGTCAGCCCCGCCGCCAGCCCCAAGCCCGAAAGCAAAATGCTGAATGTTGCCCTGCAAGGAGGAGAACACGGGTCGCGTCCGGAGCCGTAACGAGCGCTATTTGTGCCACAGCCGGCCGCCAGCTTTTCCTTTTCAACGCCCCGCCCTGCAACCCGCCACGCCCCAGCTCGCGCGAGTGGCCCCGCTTCCGACGTGCTCCTGCTCATGGCGGAGCTGGGGGCGAGGCCGGCGAGCGCGCAGGAAGGCTCACGAGCCCCGCCGCCGCCGTGCAGGCCCGCGGGGCGCAACAGGCAGTGGACGGGCACGGCGGCGGGCCTCGTCGGGGAGGTCGGGGGAAGCCCGCACACCGACTCCACACAGCACGGTGCTGCGCGGAATCAGTGGGTAGTATGCTTGAAGGAGGCCGCTCCCAGAGAGGTTGCGGAAGGGAGTTGCAGCCTGTGCGAGCTGAGCCCCGGAAGCCAGACGCACAGTCAGAGAAAGAGCCAGACCGCGGCGCGCTCGCCGCCAAGCCGACTGACGGGGTGGTCGGGGTGGTCGGGGTGGTCGGGGTGGTCGGGGTGGTCGGGGTCCCAGGGGGCCGGGCCGCCAGGGCTTAGTCGAGCCCCGTAGGGCTGCGGGGCTGCGGGGCTGCGGGGCCGCGGGATGGCGCGCAACCGTTGGCGCCGCCGCTGGGGCGCTGGCTGCTGCTGGGGCGCCGGCGGCGCGAGACGGCGCGGCGCCAGCCACCCCACGGCGCCACGGGCACGGGCAAGGCGCACGGCCCCAGGGGATTGTGTGTTGTGGCGTGGGTGGTAAAAGGGATCACTTCGCCTCGCGCGTGCAGCCAAGGGCTATGTGGCAGGCATGACGAGCGTGACGAGTGTGGGAAGCGTGACGAGCGTGACGAGCATGGGGCGCCTGTCGCAGGACGTGGGAAGCGTGACGAGCATGGGGAGCGTTTCGAACGTGGGAAGCGTGACGAGCCTGCAGAGCGCGACGACCGTGACGAGCGAGGCGGGCGTGACGAACGAGGCGAGCGTGACGAGCGAGGCGGGCGTGACGAACGAGGCGAGCGTGACGAGCGAGGCGGGCGTGACGAACGAGGCGAGCGTGACGAGCGAGGCGGGCGTGACGAACGAGGCGAGCGTAACGAGCGCAGTCGCACTAAGGGTCGGCCGATATCGCATCTGGTCTTTATCCCAAACTTTTACAACCATTAGAGATAGGGAGAGCGGAGCAGGGCGAGGCTGTATTTTTCTCTCGAGGCGAGGCAACAGCAGCAGCTGCGACCCATCGCGGCGGGGCGCGGAGCGGGGCGCGGAGCGGCGAGCGTAGCGTGCCGCGTGGGGCCAAAGGCAGCCGCAGGCAGCCGCGGGCAGCCACAGGCCAAATCGGCGACAGAACCGCTAACTGTTTTAGGGCAGTCGTTACTCATCCAGCCAAATTCAATTAACCGCGCCCCGTCCGCCATCAAAGCGAATGGCCCTAGTGGCCGCCTCGCCTCGACCCTGCAGGGCATGCCCCGCCATTTGTAGGGCCGAGGGGCGCAGGGCGCGGGGCTCAGGCATGGCGCCGCCAGGGGCTGCGGGACGCGCAGACGCGCGCAGCAAGGGCAGCTTATATTATATTACACAGAGTGGAGGTTTAAACCCCCTCTCCCTCCCCTCCGACCCCGCACTGCCTCGCACCGACCGGGGACTCGCCGCCCCGCCACCGTACCGCCCGCCTTTGACGGCCAAGTTTTGGCGCAGCTCACGGAGCTCGCGGAGCACCGAGTCTCGATCATTCGCTCCGTTCGCAGCCACCACCTCCAGAGTCCAGCACGAAATGCGTCGCCGCGTCGCAGGCAGAAAGGCAAGCGGCAAGGCAAGCAGCGAGCCAGGCAGGGCAGCAGCGTCCGTTTCCCAGTCGTTGCGCCCCTGTCGCTACACGCAGACTCTCTGGAGGGTGAAAACAAAAAAACAAGGAGGCTGGCTGACCCTCCAATGAGGCTCAAGAGTGTCCGTTGCGGCAGCTCCTCGACTCGGACTATTTTCTTCGGCAGAGTTTGGCCCACACCGACGGTTCATTTGGAGGACAGCTCGCGCGTGTCCCCTTCGAGCGTCTCCTCGGGGAGCAGTGGCTGCGCTTATTGCGGGAGGCAGACTGGTTCCGAGAATCGCTGTCGCTGCTCTGTCTCTATCGCACCCATGGAGAGTCCCGTTGAGGTGCAAGAGAGACAGAGCGGCGAAAACGAGTCTCTGAATCAGTCCGCGGGTAGCGGGTCTCAGCCTTACCTGTTGCGTTGAGTAGGCACCCCTCTTGCGAGTCACCTAACTTCACTGCCAGCGGCCCGCAGAAGAGTCTACGGCCGAATCCGAATTAAGGAACGAGAGCGACTACGAGGCAACGCCGCCCACAGCGGCAGGCATCTCCTTGCGCACTGGCACAATAGCGCACTCGAGGAGGGCGTCGGTGGCTGGGGCCACAGCGCCGCCGTCCGCGGCTCCCCGGCCTCACGCAGCACCGCGTGGGCGCGAGGCGCTGTTCCACGTCTTGCTCGCCAGCACCGCGCCTAGCCCGCCGTGCCTACCGCTGGCGCTCCGGAGACAGAACTGCTCTCGACTCGACTCGGTCCAGCGGCGGGACCGGGACGACCGGGAGCGGAGCGCGGAGCGTCCTACCCCACCCTCCTGCGCCGCGCCGCGCGCACCCACCCCTCAGACAGCGGCCTCCCCCTCTCCTCCAGGGCCGCGGCGTACGCGGCGTGGCGCGCCATCCAACAGGTAGCCCAGCCCGGCAGGGTGCCCGCCCAGCCGAGGGCGCCGAGGGCCCAAGCCGAGGCCAGCGCCGCCAGGGCCGCCAGGGCCCGCCTGACAGATTGAAAGGTACCTTGGCTGCGGACGGCCGCCTGTCTGGTCTAATAGGCCCTAATGGGGGAGGGGGCCCGGCTCGACTCGGGCGCCTCGGCCAAGAGGGAGCAAACCGAAGAACGAACCCCGCAGGGTTTCCGCTGGCAGGAGCGTGGTGGTGCGTGTCGGCGGCACGGTGTCGGACGACACCTGCCAACACGCACGACACGCCACATGGTCGTTGTCGCCCGCCGCCCACTCCTACCTCTACTTGACCATCTTCTTCTTTCGTTTCTTTTCTGGTGCTGAATTTCCGCATTTTGGAAAACGTCTTGAAAAGATCCAAACTGTTTTCATTCTCTCCTATTCTCGGTTTTTGGATATTTGTTTTGGTTTTAGTCTTTCATAAGTGCAAACGAACGGTGGTGAACATTGAAGGCTGTGCAAAATTCGGAACACTGGGGTTCAAATCCTGGTTTCTCCATTTCGTGGCCACCCTAGAGCGTCCCGGCGCCCGCAGACCGGAGCGTAGGCAAGCCCGCATGCACGGCTGCAGGCGTGTAGCCTGCAATCGTTTTGTCGCGGGGTTTCTGGGCCATCTAGTACTTTCTCGGCCACCGCGGCTCTCGGCTCGAAGTCGGTGAAGCCGTGTGTTTGTCATAGTTGTGCTCGCTGCATCGGATCCGCCACTACACAGCCAGCAGCATCAAAAAGCCCGACTCTGTGGTCGAGATGAGCGTAGATGGTCAGTCTCCGGATCTGTCGGGCCTGGGTTCGACGTGGTGCGACACCCGGTGTGATTGGGATTGGGAGGCATCCTAATGCAATACAGCCATTTAAACTGCAGAAAAGTCAAGGTTCGTCATGAGTTACTGCTTTCATTTTATTAACGACACAAATTATTCTTCCAGACTAAAATTGATCAAAAGTAATTGAGAACATCTATTTGAATTGATCAGAAGTAATTGAGAACATCTATTTGAATTGATCAGAAGTAATTGAGAACATTCATTTGAATGGAGGCTAATATATATAACACACGTTAGAACAGCTAAAAACAGAATTTCAGATTGATAGAAAAAAAAATGCATAAAATCACAAATTATTTTGATGTGCTTTTTCTATTTACGAGCTATACACATTTTGTAATGTAAGGAAGAAGAGTGCAAAGTCACACCTTCTAAATTCACCACTTCTAATACCAGATGACTAGAATACAAGCATTGACAACCAAGGCACAGATTCAGTCTTGTCCCTAGACGTAGACTGAAATCAAGAGAAGAAAAAATGAAATATATTTCTATCTATTTTTCACTCACTTGCTCATTCACGCATTCAGGAAAAAACAACAAGGCACACCATTTCGATCATTAAAGAAAAAAAAAAACTTAATGTACATAGTAGGGGTTTAAAAATACAAGTAACATTTGTGCATACTCTTCTCATTCATCTATCATCACAGATAGTACACCTGCTTAAAAGCAGCAGCCACACTCACTACTTCATGAAAGGGATTATTATAAACAAATCAAATCACCATAGTATTGGTGAGGAGTGATGTAAAGTAAGACAAATAGTTCCACAGGACCTCATTTGGCAACATTTTAAATTTTTTTCTTTCAAAGAAAGTGACCATCTGTCCTGCAGAGAATTACAGTGGGGCATTTCAAGACACTGGTAACTATAGAATCAGGAAATCTCTGGGATTAACTTCTAAAGTCAGTGAAAATACTGACTGTAAATACATGCACAGGCACAGGCTTAATAAGAAACTAATTCACTAACTAATCAAATCACATCATGTTGAAGGGTAGAAAAGTAGACAGTATTGGTACATTAAATAGAATTAAGTAATTGTGAAATGTAATAAGTGACCCTCAAGCATTTCGCTTGATTTCAGACTAGTAGTCAGCACATTTTTTTTTCAATAGAAGAAAAATGAAAGTAGAAGTCAAACTAGATAAAAACAATGACAAATAATGATGAACAATTTAAAAATAACTGTAATACTACATTTTTTCCTAGAATTCCACACTAAAATTTAGTAAATTACAGGTTTTAGTACAGCACTCAAATCACAAAGAAAATTTAATTTGTGTACAATACATAACTTTATTAAAATAAACCAGCATCCTTCTTCAATTTTGTTTGCTTCCACTGAGGTAATTCCATGAAATCTTCTTTGGACATTCCAAGCATTTCCTACAAAAAGACAAATTCAGATTCAGTTGCTCTATTAATTTTAAAAGCAGCCACAACTATATAACAAGGAAGAAGGGCATACCTGGAAATGTTGAGGTGCAAGATACAACTCCAATCTTGTTGGGTCAACACCATCTGGTAAAGGTCTTTGCAGAAGTTGGGCAGCTGGGTAAGTAGACTGGGTGAGTTTCGCCAGTTCTGACTCCACTGACAGAATTTCTCCGGCCTTGTGACCATCCTATTATTAAACTTAAGTTAGTGTGGGTCCAAACATTTCTTAAAAAGAAATCAAGTCCAAAGATATACAAACCTGAATGTTGATTTCTGCAATGTCATCACGATCTGTCCACTCTAAAAAGAGATTTGTGAATTCGAAAGGTTCCAGCCCAGCCCAAACCAGGAAGGCTTGAGGAGGTTGACCTGGGTGCCGAAGAGCCCAATAGTCCAGGGCAGTCTGCATAGCTGCTCGGCGTTCAGCCTGCCAGCGCACGGCACCAGAACCAAGTCCTTCTCCACCAGAAACAGCATTGCCATCTTCCTCATCACGCTCACTGAGCCACCATCCTTGCCACAACCAAAGCGAGTCACCATTGTCAAGAATAAACACAGCTGCAGCAAAAAGGTTAAAAAAAAAAAAAATTAGGTATTTGTAACAAATTTGAATTACTGTAAAATCAAGGTAATATCGGTAATATCCAATCTTACAGAAACTTACCAGGTTGACTTGCTCCATACAAGTGGCTTTGTTGGAATGGGAAAGGAACTGTGAGTTTACTGTTGCGGCATGGACCTGCTACTTCAGTGGCAGTGAAAGTTCCCGATAGACTAGTGAGATGGAACAGACGAGGGGAATATTGAGAATTGCCATCCTTAGCACTTGGCAAAGAAACATACAAATGCCTATTGCTACCCCCAAAGCCCTTCAAAAATTCCTGGGATTCAGATCCTTCTTCTTCATCCTGAATTTCCAAGGCAGAGGGTAGGCCAAACTCTTCAGACATTTCTTTCTGTATTTTTAGGGCAAGTGTTTTCGCAATATTTCGATTGTGTGGGAGAGCTCTAGCACCACACCAAATGTGAAGAATCTTGCTCTTTTCATTCAAGAGTAGAAAACATCCGCGACTTCGAAGCTGGCGCATGCTTGGGGTCACTTCCACCAGGCTAGCCTCCCTTTCAAGCTCCCCCCTAATAGCAAACAGGCGGTATGTTCCTGAAATACAAAGCAATTTTAATTTGAGAAGTGAAACAAGTGAAAGAGAGTCAAACAACCAATACCGGAACCACAAAGAAAAAACAAGATGCAACTTACCTTTTTGACTATGTTGATCTCCCCTTCTACCAGAATGAATGGTCATTTTTCCATTAAACAGGCCAAGGAATGCAGGTGGTTCCAATCCTTGAGTAACAAAAATTTGTGGCCCCTGCTCCTTATCAAGCTCAACAGTCAACAGAGCAGCAGCACCTTTATCATTGAGAAGTGCTTTCCGGCCTTGCCAGCAGAAATAGCAGAAGCGGTCCCGGCCCTGCGATGCCGCATGCTTGGAGGGCTGCCCATTGAGCGCTCTGGTTGTGACTGTCACTCTGTATGCCCAGCGCACGACATAATTATCACCTGAGTGAAACTGTCCGAATGATCTTTCCGGAAGTTCAGAGTACTCATATTCCTGGATATGCCACACTTTGACACCTGTTGTCTGGATTTCGTAAAAACGTCTGGTTTCCTCATCATAAAATTCATTTCCTCGTCCGAGATGGAACCCTTCCAATAGTAAATCTGGATCTTCTGGTTCTGAATCAAGCATATCCTTGGCATTGCATGGCTCTACATAGACACTTGCATCTACTACTTTATCCTTGACTGAACTATCTTTTGCTTGAATGACTCTGGTAAAGTCAGGCCAATCTAGGAACTTTTCACGGAACAGAATAGTTTCCATATGCTGAGTGATTTTTGCAATGAGAGCCCACAGTGGTCTTCTTTTGGCAGATTTAATACCAACTTCTCCTTTAAGTCCAAACTGTGGACCAAGGGAAGTAGCACTTAGTAATGGGCAAATATCACAATCAGAGTAATCATAACCTTGCTCCCAAAGCTCTTTTGATAATTGCAGAGCAGTTTTCCGCAGGTCAAGGGGTGCATTTTTTCCATTCCAAACATACATCTCACTGCCGAAATCAAACACCAATATCTGAAACAAATAATGTCAGAAAAAGAGGCACCTTGATGTCACTATTGTGAATGATTAGCAAGAAATAAACTCGAAATACCTTGGAGGGATCCAACATTTCGATGCGAGGTATACAGCCCCAATAATTTTCAGATGGAACCAATTCTGCATCTTTCAGTTCGTAAATCATATTTGTCTCAAGTATAGCAGTTTCATATAATTCATCTTCATCTGGATGACCAGCCTCCAGAGCTACAAACCATACAGCAAACAAAATATTTAGTTATTGACATTTACAGAAAAAAGCAACAACGAAGAAGACTCATGTATTAGACTTACATTTGGGGCCATCCAATGAACCAAGCAATCTCCAGAATGTTGCAATCTGACTACTACTGCAAGTTGTCTTTTCTTCACTGATGGTAATTACAGGAGATGCTCCGCTGAAACCCAGATCTTTGTTTTGCTGAATATGAAGAGCGATTTCAGCACCTCTAGCTCTCTCAATCACATTGGAATATTTACCAATCCAATTAAACACCTGACAGGATAAAAGTTTTAATATTAACTCAAAATGATGGCAATTGCAAACACTATAATAAAGTTAAATAATAAAAGCAACAAAGGGCTCTTTACCTGACTGGGAGTGACTAGAACAAAGTTATCCCCACTATTTATACTGCTGGCAATGGGTTCCACAAGACGAGTTTGAATGTGTCTCCTCCCCTTAATTTGAAGCAACATTATTTCCTTGTAAGGAAGGAGGGTTGTGCCATTGTGTACTGCACTAGTGGATGATGACTTCCTGAGAGAAACTGCGGAAAAATCTTCCTTGCTCGCAAGTCCTGCCAGTGCTTCCACAGCTAAAGAAGAATTTTTTGCCACTGAAAGTAAAAAAGAGAAAAGGCAGATATTAGAGGTAAATTTTTAAAATGGCAAAAAATTTTAATAAGCAACACTACTTACATTTTTCTGCACAGAGGCGTTTCATTTCCCTTTCAGCAGCTCCAGTGCGGACATCCACATATTCTGTACACAGATCTGTGCGTGCTGAGAGAGCTTTAATTGGATTGCGTGAAGCAACCCTGCGACCAGACACTTTAACAGTTCGTTTTTGAACAAGCCTGAAAAGAAGTGTCAATATTACACTGGCTCTTTTTTTTCTTTTAAGGGAAAGAAAAAGACGTGTTAACAAACGAAGTATGTAATCAACTTACAATTCACTTGAGCGGGTCACAGCACTATCAAGATCAATATCATTGATTTCAATGGTTTGGTTACCAACATTTATTGATGTACTGAAGAAGCTATCAAATTGCTCGTCAAGACGTGGAAGTTCAATTCGTGGACCTTGAACTTGGTTTCTAATTTGAGGTGTTGGGTTCTGTTGTTCGCTTGCATCTGAAGTTTCTTGTTCAGAAGGAGAGGTATCTGTAAAATTCATAAGAAACAGGACTAAGTCAGAAGAAGTTATAATTTCAATTTATAAGTTGATCTCTGACTATTTACTTTGATTACCTGAATCCTCTTCAGCATTAGGAGCAGACATACTGCGTTTGAATGTGTGAGCTCTAACACCTAAACATATAAGTAAAGTTAAAAAATTTATGGAAATTGGAAAAATAAAAAATACAATGTTTGGACTAATAAATGTACACGTACCAGTTTTGCTGCAGAAGCGCATGGGCTTAGGAACATTTCGCTTTCGTTCCGATCCAGGTATCAGATCTGGAGTGGGAGAAAGAGGAGTGGATGGCGTTGAAGGTGGAGTAGCCTTTACACTTGGTGCATCAGAGAGAGATGAGGCCCTCATTTTACCTTTAACTGAGAACTGGTCGGCATCTTTTTGACCAATTCGTTTACGCCAATCCTACACAATAGAAAAATTCCAAACTTTAGAGGGAAAACCAGAGCGGAAGAATGCAAAGAGGAATGCAGTTACGGTCCATACCTGAGATGCATTTTCAAGTTTGCCTAGCCTGTCCGCTAAAATGCTGCTGCGGTCTCCACTTCCTGATCGCTGCAATGAAATCACTTCGGTGGGAGACTCAGCGGCAACCATACTGTTGCGGTTTCCAGAGACGAGCTGCTTCAAAATTTGTTGAGAGTCCTGAAACAAATTATAAAAGACCAACACATAAATTAAAATCTGGCAAATGAATAAAATAAAGTTTTATTGTTAAAGGAAAGAATTTTGAGGAGGGAAGCAAAGGTCATTACTGTCATTTTCGTTGTAACAGCGCTTTGGGGAGTAAAAAGTGCCTTTCCCACCGAGTGCAGCTTACTCCTAGCCCCACTACTAGGGAAGATGCTGCCAAGAGCTTTCCTCTTGGCAGCGACGTTACCGACGGGGGGCATCGCGTCGCTATCCAGGCACCAGTCGGGGAAATGGGGAGGGGGGCCCTGGGCTAAGTTCTTGGGCTTGGAGCGGCGTGGCGGCGGACTAGATGGGGGCGGGGGAGGCCAACGGTCCAGCGGGGTGCACTCCATAGCGGCAGGAGGGAGGCCTAGGGCAGTGTCCTTGGGTTGACGTGACGGGGGAGTCGACGGGGGCGAGGGAGTGGATGGGGGCGAGGCAGGCCGACGGTCAGGGGCGGGGTCCAGCCGGGTGCACTCGGTGGCGTTGTCCGAGCCTGCGCTTCCTGTCGACGCCGAGGCCGAGGCCGTGGGCGAGGCGGCAATGAAGATTGGCAGCGTGCCCTGCGGCGGGGCTCCAACGGCGTTGTCCAGCAGGCCGCCTCCAGCGCCTCCAGCGCCTCCAGCCGGCCCACGAGCCTGGTAACCAGGCGACGCCGACGCCCCGACCCCACTGGGCTCCCCTTCAAGATCGTCTACGAGTTTCTCCGCGGTCTTCCCCGGCGCGGCCGGCAACGTCGAGGTTCCGCTGCTTCCGCGGCGCGCGGCCAGCAGCAGCAGCAGGCCCAGCAGGGCCAGGGCCAGCTCGATCCACATGACGGGGAAGGGGACGAACCACTGCCTGGTCTGCCAAACCTCACGACCGCGGTTGGCAGGACGAAGGGACAGTGCGACGGCACGAGAGGACGGCGAGGCGACTCCGAGCGGCCGCCAGAGGCAGCCTCAAGTGGCAGCGCGAACGCGGCACTACCGACTGCCGCCCGTCCACTCGGCGACGGCGACCCGCACGGCCAGCTCGGCCAGCGCCAGCAGCAGCGAGAGGAGGGAGCGAGGCGCGACCGTGTTTGTGTGTGTCAGCCAAGCCACGCCGCGCCGCGCCAGGCCGAGTGTGTGTTGTGGTGACTCAGGTCCAACCTGTCTTGCGGGGCCCCGGGCAGCCCCGGGCCGCGGCCTGGCCTGGCGGGCTTGGCGGGCTCAGCTGAGGTGAGCAGCGCGCGCAGCGCGGTGAGCTAAGCAGGTGTGGCAAAGCCTTGGGCAAACCGTGTCGGGTTGGGTTCGGCCGTTCGGCCGCGGACGACCAGGACGGAGACGCCCTTCTCGCACGCGGACACGCGGAAAAGAGGAGGAGCCACATCGGGCGGACCGCGTCACCGCGCCTCTCGTCGGCGACGACACAAAGGCTCGCCCGCCATTAATCCCATCAATTGCGATGTCGTATTGTGACGTCGCGATCAAAGCCGGCGGACGGTGCCTTGTGCCTCCAGGGCGTGGCGGCGTCGCGTCACGTCGCGTCGCCGCGGAGAGAGGGAGAGAGAGCGCCACCCGCCACCCGGCGCAGTGGCGGCCTGGCGGGTACGTGCCTAGTCAGCTGTCGCGGGGGCCGCGGGGGCCGCGTCCAGGTAGTGCACCCGATTTCCCCGGCCGCCGTGGCGTGGTGGCGCCGTGCACTCGCCAAACGCAGCGGCCGTGCCAGCCAGCTGGCTCGGAGAGCTCGGAGGAAACCTGGCCCGAGGGAATAGGGCATTCCCCCGCGGCCGCTGCACGCTGCACGCCTGGACAGCCGCCCTTATGGGGCTGGCGGCTCGACTCGGCCAAGCTCGGCACGCCACATAAGGCCATGGCACGCGGCGCTCGCGTCGCGGCCACCGCCACGGCGGCGTGGCCTTGGCCAGCCTTGGCGGACGCACGGCAAGCAGGCACTCACGCTGATGCTCTTGGAGACGTCCTCCGCGGTGCTGGGCTTGACGACGCGCTTCCTCCAGCCCGTCTGCCCGTTCTGCTGCAGCAGCTTGAGGCGCTCCGCGATGGACGCGTTGGCCGACACGCCCGACACGTCCTGGTCCGCGACGGGCATCGGCTGCGTCAGGCAACGACGCAGGCCCCCGGCCACGGCACCGGCCTGCACAGCCATCGCGGCCTCGTCGTCGGCGTCCTCGTCAGAGTCCTGAAACATCGTGAAATTTTGGAAATTTGCAGAAGAAAACCAGGGTGGTTTTGGAAACCCGGGCCTCTCTCCCGGGAGGGCTTCTTACCTGTGGCAGCGCCGCGTGCTGGCTGCGGCTCTTGGACAGCGGCACCGGCGGCGCCTGTCCGGGCAAGCGCAGCTGCAGCTGCAGGCCCAGTCGCTGCGTCAGCCCAGCATCCAGACGGCCCGGCCTGCAACACGGAGGGGCCTCGTCACTCACATGCAACACGCAGACGGCACACAGCACAGGCGGGGAAGTCCGTCGCGGGCCGAGCGCCCGGCAGGCAGGCAGCCCAACGCACGCGTCGGGGCGGACTCGCGGCCGAGCGCCGCGCCGGCAGGCAACCCATCCTGCATCGCGACGCCGCGACGCGCTGGCCGCGCGCGCGGGGCGAGGCGGGGCGGGGCGCGGCGGGGCCTGGCAGCGAGGGGCGGCCAAGGGCCTCCCCCTTCCTGCAGGGCGCGGTGAGCACCGTGTAGGAAGCCAGCCATCATCAGATAAGACCTTCGACCCGCGCCGGGCTGGGCCCAACCGCCATCGATTCCCCAGACCAAAACTCTTGACGCGAGGATCCATATGCCGCACCCCGTGCCCGTCCGGTACCCGTCTGCCTTCAGACGGCCTCCTCCTGCCTGCCCCGCGCACCGCGCACCTGTGAGACTAGGCCGCCAGCCGCCAGGTGTTTGTAATGAATCGCGTATCGCGTAACGCTGCGCTACATGCACTGCAGACCGATTCCGGGACGAGTCTCTCTCGCACTCATGGGGCGGGCGTCGCGTGTGGGTGCGAGAGGGACAGAGCGACGACAACGACTCTCGGAATCAGTGTGCTGCGACTGCCGACAGTGGGCGGGGGCGGCCGCGAGACACGATCGGCGGCGGCGGCGGCCAGGAAGCCAGGAAGCCGAGGCGCGGCGCGACGCAACGCGTGTCGAGCGTCGCGGCCTCTGCGTCATGCAGCAGGCTGCAGCGGGATGGTCGGACAGTGCAGCAGGGCGCAGGGCGCACGCCACGGCCGTGGCTAGGCCTGTGAGTCACCGCCGCGAGGAACACCAGCACCTCGCCACGCGCCGCCACGCGCCGCCACGCGCCGCCACGCGCCGCCACGCACCGGTATCGCACCTGGTGACTAACGGACCACGCGACACCACTTCGATGCAGCTGGACGGGACGGCCGCCTCGACGGCCGCCTCACCGCCACGGGAAGGGCGATTCGCCGCGGCAGCAGACTGATTCTGTCTCTCTCGCACTCACGGGGCGACTCCTAAAGGTGCGAGAGAGACAAGGCGACGAAAGCGAGTCTGCGGCACCACGCCGAAGCGAAAGCGCTGCCGGGGCTTGGCCGGGGCGAGACACGACTGGCATTGCCGCGGTGGCCGCTGGACATGACCACGCGCCTTGCGCCTCGCGCCTCGCTGCAGCCTGCAGGGCACAGGGCAGCCCGGCCAGGCGCCATGGTCTTGGTCTTGGTCACCGCCACCAGGGTGGGGGTCGACTTTCTACACGCCATCACCTCGACGACGTGCCGCCCCGCCCCGCCCCGCCCCGCCCGTCGCGGATTCGCCCCATTTGCGCGGACGTGTGGCCGGCGGGCCGGCTGGCGGTAGTAAAAAGGCACTCGCTGTCCAGCAGGCTCATTCCGACCAGAGCCCTCGTCGAGCCGTCTCCCTCGCACTCATGGAGCGCCCCGTGGGTGTGCAACAGAGAAAGAGCGACGAAACAAAACGCTTTGCGGATCGCTCGCCAGACTCCGGGAGGCTGGCCCACTGGCCATAGCTCAGCCGCGGCCCAGGCACGAGGAAGCGTTACTACACCTGTTCGCACATGGTCTGCGCCAGCCGTCACGCACGCACGCCCTGCAGGCACGCCCGTGAGGTACACGTCCGTCAGGCCCGTCCGTCAGGTGCACTGCAAGTGCGCGCCCCGCCCGCGGCCGGGCGGCGAGGCGGCACAGTGCAAGCGACGGGGCCACCCAGACGGCGGTGCGGCATTCAGATAGTAGTCCTTGCCGCGCCTGGAACTCCTGGAAGGGGCCTGGAACGGGCCTGGAAGGCAGCGGCAGGGGCCGAGCGGCGAGCATGAGGGCGGTGATTAGGTTCGCAAAACAAGCCGCCAACGTCGCGGGGCGGGGCGGGGCGGGGCGGGGTGTGGCCAAACTGGCGGGCTACCGCCGCTACCGCCGCCGCGCGCAACGAGGCTATCACTCTCGGTAAGAACCGAGTTCCGCTTCCTCGTCCGATACGTCTCTCCTCTCGCTCGCTCCGCTCTGACTGCGGCTCGGCACGGCACGGCCCGCTATGCCTTCAGCCTGCTGCACTTGGCACAAAATGCAAATGCGCATAAGTACGCGTGCAGCCGTTGCGACGTCGAGTGCCTCGACCTGCCGGGCGGCGCGGTCCCAAAAGGAGGGGCCGCGAATGAGGAGCAGCCCGACGTAGAATTTCCTAGTGTGGTGGAGAATCGACCTGGAAGGAGGACAGGACGGACCTGGCCGTCGGTCCGACTCACGGCCACCTAGCCCACTGTAGCGGTGACCGGGAGTGCGGGCCGCCTGCAAGCCAGGCCGCCCGCACCACACACGAGCGCACGCCTCGCCGCGGCTGCCTACCCGGGGACACCAGGCGCCAGGCCACTCTCGTCACGCCACTGTTTGTGGCCCAAACCGCTCGAAGAACGGCGCTGGGATGCAGAAAATGAGCTAGAAATGCTCTTGGTGGAGGAAATGCCCTCGGGTGGAAGCTGCACCGCAAACCATGTGCAAACCATGCAAACCCAAGTGAACGAAAAACCGTGTTCCACGGTTGACTGTCTCACAGGTGGGTTCGCAGTGTGAGGCCACAGACTTGTCAGGCTAGGGAGGCGGACGAAGACAAGGGGTAACCACTCAAGATTTTCATGTACACTGATTATATTTAGAGTATGATTACATGTGATTTCTTTTGGTTATTTTATTATTTATCACTAATTATGGGAGTTTATTATGTTGATTATAAGGAAATATTGGGGATTATTAGAGCGCCGACCTCGGAAAGCTGTTAAAGTGTCGGAAATTCAATATTGGTAACTTTGGGCAGCCACTGCGTCAAATTTAGTTGCGGTCAAAGGCCTCCCTCGACGCCTTACTATTCTGAAGACCCTACTCTTTCATGCCCCGCCTTGGGAAAGCTTTGACTGCTGATAGTTTGGGAGCAGTGGTCTCGCAAAAATGGTCAAAAAGTGAATGAATTTCAGAAAATCACCGTTTTTGCTGACTTTGGGCGGTCACTGCATCCAATTTAGTTGCGGTCAAAGGCCTCCCTCGACGCCTTACTATTCTGAAGACCCTACTCTTTCATGCCCCGCCTCGGGAAAGCTTTGACCGCTGATAGTTTGGGAGCAGTGGTCTCGCAAAAATGGTCAAAAAGTGAATGAATTTCAGAAAATCACCGTTTTTGCTGACTTTGAGCGTTCACTGCATCCAATTTAGTTGCGGTCAAAGGCCTCCCTCGACGCCTTACTATTTTGAAGACCCTACTCTTTCATGCCCCGCCTCGGGAAAGCTTTGACCGCTGATAATTTGGGAGCAGTGGTCTCGCAAAAATGGTCAAAAGAAGTGATTGAATCCCCGAAAGTATGATTGTCATTTCATTGGATGATGTTGATTATTTCACTGATTACCAACTAGACGTGCAATGATTATCTTGAGTTGGGTACCCCTTGGACGAAGATCTGTCGCGATCCCTGACACCTCATCTTCGGGGCCGCAGCAGCGACTCCAGCAGCGACTCCAGCAGCGGCCCGGAGAAAGCGCCCTGGCCCGGCATGCGAGCCTCGCGCCTCGCCTCGCCATCCCTAGATAGAGGTGCAAACTGGGCTGCGCCGGGCCGTCAGGCCGTCAGGCCGCGTGCTGAGGCCGCGCCGCGTCGCACCGCGCCAGATCAGATCCAGATCCACGCCCGGATCGGGGAACGCTTTCCTCGGGGATAAATCAGAACGAGGCGCCTCGCGGGAGGCAGCAGTACAGTGTGTTGCCGGACTGCACAGTACACCGCGAAGCGCGAAGGAGCAGGGCGTCGTGCAGACACTGTAGGCGGGCGGGGTGCATGACCGCGCGGCCATACACCACTCGACGCCAACGACGCCGCGGCCCGGCGGTGAGTCAGCCCGAGATGGGCGTGCGGTGCAGGGCTTGCAGGGCCTGCAGGGCGTGCGGCGCGAGTGGCTGCGGTGCAGCAGTACGAGTACGCATTCGACGGCCAGCCAGGCGGCCAGGCAGCCAGCCAGCCATGCACGCGGCCAAGGGAAGGGAGGGCCGAGCCTGAGCGATGCACCTGTCGCGGCGTCGCGGCGGGCTGACGGCGGCCAGGTGTGCATCTGCGCGGGGCCGACGGGGCCGACGGGGACGGAGGACGGACGCGTCATGCCCCGTGCCTCCCCTTCCCCCCTCCTTGTCGTACAAAGACCTTTCCCGCCTGCGCGCAGCAGGCGCAGCGCACGGCCACGCCGGGCCGGAAGCAGGCAGAGGACTGCACGCCACGCCACGCCCTGCCGGCACGCCCAATGCACCAGTGCACCCGTCAAAGGAGATACAAAGTACAGAACGTAAAGTCGACGCACGCGCCGCGGACCGTGAGGATGTCCAGAACCCTCTCGGGGCGGGCCGGCGGGCGGGCGAGCCAGACACAGGCATCGCGTGTAGCCGCGGCCGAAAACATTTCCACCGAACATCGCCAAGCCGCCAAGCAGCGCGTGCTGGCGTGTCAGCCGAGACGCCCATCGGCATCGGCTCGCCCAATGGCGTGTCGATTCGTTTATGTAAGCAGCGCGACGGCATCTCTGGCGGTGGAGGCGAGGCCAGGGCGACCGCGGGGGCCTTGGCGGCGAAGGCGGAGGCGAAGGCGGGCGCAGAGGACTGCATGGCTGGAGAACCGACTTCCCCGCGGGCACCGCCCGATAATGAGGCGGCCCGCAGGTGGGAGCGAGACAGAGAGAGGCGGCCGGGCGCGTCGTGCGATTGCAGCCCGCGTCGTGACCCGGCCAGCGCGACGCCCCGCGACGCCCCGCGACTCCGCGACGCGCAAACAGCTGGCCGTGCTGGCTGGCCGCAGCGAGTGGCGCCACTTGTTGCGAACGACGCCGCGCGGCCGGGCCGCCGGGCCGGCAGGCCGGGTCGGATGGGTACCACTGCTGTACTGTACACTGTACAGTACAG